CTTCCTTGCGACCCCACTTTCCGATGGTTAATTATAGGTCCTTGATGCAAATAGCTCCTTTTTGCTCGGCTTGTCGTATGTGTTTTCTCCGAGTCTGCTTAAGTGATCGCCAAAGTTATCGCGAACTCTGCCTTCTTCCAATCTCCTGTTCATCATATTTCTTTCCGTCAGGATGTCGATGGCCTCATTAATACTTCGGTTAATTCTGTTTTTTCCGTATGAGACCCTCCTTTCTGCTGTCTTCCAGCTGATTTCGTGTTGAGTCGTTGGGATGTGCTAAGCTATTTATGGTATTCTGTCATTTATTTTCCTGTAGAATCTTTGATGTTTCTTGATTCTTATGCCGATTTTATTACATGTTTTGCCAACATATTTGTGTCTGCAAGCGCTGCATGTTATTAAGCATATTGTCGAGGATTCCACTTTGTCTATCTTCTTGTATTGCGTTATGAAAAATGCTGTTCTTTCCTTCATGGTTACTTGATTTGTCTATTTTTCAAGTAATGACCGTAGTTTTGCGGTTATTTCGCAGGAAAGTAGTAATATTCCCTTTTGTGAGTCTCTTTTTACTTTTCTTTCATGTTCCCCATTCTGCTGTTGGCTTTTTACTGCCCATATGTTTCTTTATAGAACTTCTCTCGGATATCTACGGCCGAGGAAGATCCGAGTCAATTTGTCATATTCTTCGTTTTACAATTCCGCGTCTGTTAATCGTAGGCTTCAGATAAGCATATTTTTGATTATTCCTATCTTTAGCCTGTATTTGAGAGGGGACTGAAAATTGAATATTATTCCAGCATAGTAATTATTCTGGACATTCTTATCTTGGGTGTCTATTCGAGTGAATGTCTTCTGTATCCAGGACAGGTAACCGCTTCCCTTCCTCTACCTTCATTGTGAAATTTATTTCTTCAACTATTTAGTTTATAAACTTCAGAAAATCCTCAAATTTTTCTTATTCATGCTACCATTGTGCAAAGTTTTCATTCAGATATCGTATATACATCCTTGATTGACGAGGGGACGTCAAGAAATCCTCTCTTAATTCGTTCATGTATACGTTTGCCACACGATGTCCAAATATTTAATAATGGATATTGCCATTAAATGTGAAATTGGTAGTCCTTATTTTTAAGTTGATTAGTCGTGTTAGTGACTTTCTCTCGATCTTCTCGGACTCCATGATATCTTCTTCTCGGTACAAGATCTCCAACATGGTCGTTAGCGCCTTGTTTTTAAAATATGCATGTACATATATTTTGCATTAAAACTTACCAATAATTATGTTTCTGCCAGTGCCATGTTTTTGGTCCTTTGAGAAACTTCATATGAATGTTTTACTATATGTTAACTTGTATTTAACTTCTTGAGCCTTAAACGTATTAACTTTGTCAAATTGTGTTTTGCTGCACACTTGTTGTTGACTATCAGCCATGGTGGCTCCTCTTCTTTGTGCATCTTCAGTAATCTGTATGCTGTTGGTGGTCGTGCATCCTTTCTTATTAGCAAATTTAGTGTTCATCCTTAAATCCAACCGTTCCCATACAAATCTTTAGGCATATCACGTAATGTATTAATGGTTGTGATAGTCGGGTCCTTTTTTAGTACACGAACATGGTCTTTTCTCGCAATATACTTTCCATTTTCTTGGTGATTTGTTTCTTGTCCATTATCCCAGCCGCTTCTTTTTTATCCGCCTGAAGAAGTAATTGTTCATGCTCTTGTAGGGTCCTGCACATTCACACTGATTTGTTCTATTTTTTTGGTTTCTCATGTGTCAAGGCCTTTAAGAATAGTTAAATCTCCATTTGCTGTTTTGCTTCTACAGGGAATGTGTTTGAGATTTCCACAATGATGTTTTCTAGAAAGTTTCTGTCGTTTCGAAGATACAAATTACATCATTTTTTGAGGTTCGTAGTGTTAGCAGGAATCAAGAGGAATCGAGAATAAATCCACCACTTTTCGTATGTAAGTATAGTTTCGATTATCGTACTGATCGGGTGTTGTCACCTCGAAAACCAAATCAACTAAGCGCTGGTTCTAAGTTACCCTGTCTTAAAATCCCTTAATTAAGCAATTTTAGTCATGTCTCTATATTTATATTATTGTGGAGCCATTATTTTAGTATGAAAATTCATAAAAAAGAATTTCATAAGACAATCTCACCAGAAAACGATGTATGATTCTTGTTGTATTGCTGTCGTTTGGCTAGAGTCAGGCTGACACAGTCGACGGGCCATGCTCCCTCGGTTCGGGTGAGTATGGGAGGAGCCTTAATTCATCATATGCTGAAAATCACACAAGGGCTGGAAAATTAGGTCAAGAAGAAAATCCGTCTTTATTTTACCTAGTGTTGAAGTGAGACTTACTAAAACGAATCCCATCTCAGAGGATGTGCATCATATGGTGAACGAAGGCTTAGTCCGTTTTTACCAGAAGCGAAAGAGGATGACTCGTGGACTGCGTTAATCTGAACGTCGTATTAAAGCCAGATGGCTGCATTACAACGAGAATCAGACGTCTTCTGGTTAGATCGACTTTTAAAACTCTTCTTCATGAACTTTAATACGAAATGATATATCAGGAAACTCATTTGCCCGTTGGTTTTAAGTCGAAGATGCTTTGTGATATTTTTCTTTTATATCGTTCCGTTTCTGAAGATCTTTCTGAGTCATAATCCTGGTCATATCACATCGTAACTTTGACTTAATTTCTATAAGCTTAAGTAAACTATTCCTATCGATATAGTAAGGTTCTTTTACCTTATGAGTGGAGGCCTGATGAATAAAGTCATGAACACATTCCAAATGGTAGTATTTTTTGGGGTCACAGAATCCAGGAGAAATAGCGACTAGAGTAAAATGTATACTGTGAATGGAACCGAGGGAAAGTATTCAACCAGAAAGATGAAAAAACGACTCTCCATGTGCATGAGCGAAATCTTGACTTAGCGTGAACGTGAGACTTTTGGAGGAATGAGTTCCAGCTCTGACGTTGTTCGTCATGTGAAGAACAAAGGCTCAGCACGATTTTGCCCAAAGCGAGGAAGTCTCCTGGACTGCATAACTGTGAAGTTTGTATTTAGGCTAAACGACTACAGTGCAGCGAGTATCAGCTGTCGTTGGATCAACCTAAGAATCTCTTCAACATTCATTATCATACGAAATGAAAGTCTCCACTACAAGGTTATCTAGGAAGATTCAACGAAACCTACTTTGCCTTAGTCTATACGAGTGAAATACCCAACAGATAAGATAAGAAACGAATCTCCGTGGCCATGACGGAGATTCGGATAGAAGTTAATCAGATCAGCGATTCAGAATAAAACGAGAGAGAGAGAGAGAGAGACAAGGTAAACAAACAGGTGTGATAGCACCCCACTAAATTCGCCAAAAGGAGAACACATTTAGGGGGATCGAATATAAGCAAGTCAGAAGTTGTGATCGTGAAGAAGTAAGATACGAGAGTAGGGAGTAGGCAGATTTGCCAGTACAGAAGGAGAGATAACATTACTGCTAGACTATGATGCAGGCGAAACGTGTGGGAATACACCAAATCCACTGGCCAATGCTGGAAATAATCATAACTACTACAGCAGAGGACTTCAGACAGGGTGTGTCCAACTAGGTGGCTCTGACAACATGACCGAGAGATCGGACCATTTCTTTAATTGAAGAAGGTTTTTCTCTATGTCTAGGCAGAATGAGGCTCTGGAAAAAGCGACTTTGTTTTTAAAGACAAGCTGTGGTTAGAGCAACAAGGTGGAATGTTTAAATGGAAATATTTTTAAAATTTCTTAATAACTCTCATCTTAACAAGTATCCGCTAAAATAGCATTTATTTGTGAACGATAAATGTGTTCCATATTATTTAAATATAGCTTATTTCTCCAGAAGCATACATGTAATGCTTATAATGGATATTTATTTCATCGTCCTAAGAATTTGTGCATTTTTTCTCTACTTTCTACCACGACATAGCAACTCTGCTCCTCAAAGCTGATGAAATCCAGAGCGTCGGAATTAGCCCGTAACCGTGACTTGCTAAGATAAGATCAGCCTAACACGATGAAGTCAAGCCTAACTTGGGGATAATGGCCCGATCAGGCGCTGATAGACAGTCAATCGACAATTCGTTGGGGCCGTTTCCTTGCTCTTGACATGAATTCGCGTGGCTTCACACCGTCAAGACTTCAGGCCAGCTGTGATGTCATCGGTAGTCCGGGTTATGACCCTAGTAACTGATGTTCGAAGTGGCTACTACTAGGGGGCATATGAGGGTGTGAAAAAGCTAAGTAAGAGAAGGCGTCCAAATATCTTGGAGGATTGATAGAAGATGAGGGTGTAAGCTGTCATGGAGAGTATTTGTGGCCTATTTGTGGCGCCACAGTTAACTCAGGATCAAGCATTCTGACCCTTTTGTGCCATGTTTTAGAGTTGCTGGGCTATAGGGCGTTTAGTTGTCGCTTTTCTATTCAGGCTCCGTGGTTTGCGTCAGTAGCCAAGCGCTGGTTGCAATAGCAGCCAAAGATCATCAAAAGTGATTTCGAGCCAAAGTTCTGGCTAGCTCAGTTGAAAGGGGTGGTCTGAAGTGGGACTAGATTTAGAGTGACTAATCGGCACATTCTTGGAATCCCAGTCGGGCGACTAGGGATCAAGATGAAAGGAAGTCGGACACGAGACGTAAACGGATTCAGCGAGGCCAGATGTCTGATGAGAGAGGAGTCGTTGATGCATTTGGGCAGTATTGGAGTGGCCAGAGCAAAAGTGCACATTTGTGCGTAACTAGGGCGCTGAAGAGGGGAGGGGCGGCTAGTCTGTGGGTTTAGAGGAATGGGGAAGAGGCTATTCGAAGCCCTCAGCGTAACTCCATCACCGTATTCAAGTCTGGCCAGTAGGAATTGAGAAGACTGTACAAAGCAGTTGGACTGTCTGAGGGTATTTTTTCCCATTACTTCAGTTTAATAAAAGGGTGAGCGGCAGAAAAAGGCCTATCCTCCCCACAAGCTTAACTCAAATGGCATTTATACTCGTACCATAAGAAGTGGCAGGAAAAGGGCTATAAGGGGGCCCAAGTGGACCACTACAAGTCCATAAAGTAGTTGTTTCGTGAAGGCAAACTAAGGCGTGAATAAAATGGTGAGAATTGGTGAAAACTATGCAGACTTCTTGAATGAAAGGGGGCACCAGCAAGGCATATTGTAGAAGAGCAGGGAAAACGCAAAAATTCAAGAGGAATATGGGATTCAATTTATAGGGCGTATCAGGTACTTCGATATCGACAGAATGAAGGGACACATGTAAAAACGCCATGAGTGGGACACTCAGTTTAAGATAAATAAAATAGGGACGGACTGAATTGTGAAAATAGACAAGATGAATAGAGTTGATGGATAAATATCTCTTGGTGGTACAAATATCCATCAGCTCTTGATATACGTGTATTGTGAAGCAACTCACAATAGCAAATTTCCCTGCTAAGTTATCATCCAAACATGCATATGGCGTCAGGGCAGAAATTGTGGAATCTATCATTCCTGAAGTTTAACATATACGAAGATAAATATGGTCTTTATGAAGATCAATATTAAATATTATTGTATTATTCACCCTGTTTCGTTTAACATGATGAGGGACTGTTAATTAAATTTTCTTAAAATTATATGAGTTGGCGCAGCGTTACCATTCACTTTTGGTAGATTTTAATGGCAAATTCAACATTGCTTCATCGAAAATCTCCCCACAGAATGTGATATGGGGAATTCATATCTGCCCCGTGATCCATGAGTGCTCATGGCAATGTGGCGTAGTAATTACCGGTTTGAGTCCTCCTAAGGATA